CCGGGCTCATTTACAGAGTAGAATGGATTTCTTACATGAATCACGTTTATATTCTGATGAAAAAATTATTTTAAAACTATCAATATAAACGGTATGACACTGACAGTGAGTTTTTCAATCCTAATACCACGGTCCGATTTTGTCAGAATCAAAATTAATCTGGTACCGCAGCTGAATGTAAACAAACAGGCCAGTCTGGTTCCCTCTCCTGCTTTACTTCGTATGTGTAGAGAACTACGGTAACACCGATTATCAAAAATCCTTACGCTAATGAACTATGTTCTTTGACTTATGAAGTTTTCAAAGTCATTACTACTTATGTTTATTTTATATAGATAAAACTTCGTTTTATTTTTGTTGCTTTATTTAGCGTTTGTATTATCTCAAAAGCGGTTGAGAGTAAGAACTATATTTTTGCACGTAACTTTAAAATGGCGACTATGGGGTCAACATCCTGCCTTGAACAGGATCACATAAGCCGGCAATTGCTCTTTGAGCAATAAGCCCGGCTAAAAATGCGATAGCTTATCTTGCCTGGACAAGATCAAAAGGTGCTGTTAAGTTTGTCGACAAACCAGAAAGTTATCATGTCTTGATGAGATAGTTACTTGGCTTGACATGACATGCTATGTTGATAAAACTTATGTGGATGACATAAAATTGATATCATAGGAATTTCCTTTAATGCGTACAAGGACCAGCTGGGCTTTTTTGAATGTAAACACTACAGAAATTTTTCCGCATAATCATTAACACGTTGTTTTAAAATTGTGCCTCTCACATGCTTTTTATATGAATATGAGTAAAACACGAGTCTCTCTCTAATAACAAGAGGCCCATGGGCCACATCGCTCGCCTGAGCACTATGGCTAGGAAAAAGTAGAATTGATTTATTATTGAAAAGTTTAAATCCAAAAGTAGTCCCATGACCAATTATGGCTTTGTTATTCTTGAGAAGAAGATTTTTAAAGAATTTTACTATATTATATTTCTATGTAAAACTTTGGTCGGCCATTGTGGCCCCACCCTACCCCCGGGGGTCATGATTTGAACAAACTTGAATCTACACTACCTGAGGATGCTTCCATATAAATATGAACAATTATGGCTTTGCTATTCTTGAGAAGAAGATTTTTAAAGAATTCTACTATATATTTCTATGTAAAACCTTGGTTGGCATTTTGGCCCTGCTCTATCCCCGGGGGTCATGATTTGAACAAACTTGAATCTACACTACCTGAGGATGCTTCCATATAAATATCATCAATTATGGCTTTGTTATTCTTGAGAAGATTTTTAAAGAATTTTACTATGTTATATTTCTATGTAAAATTTTGGTTGGCCATTGTGGCCCCACCCTACCCCTGGGGGTCATGATTTGAACAAACTTGAGTCTACACTACCTGAGGATGCTTCCATGTAAATATGAACAATTATGGCTTTGCTATTCTTGAGAAGAATATTTTTAAAGAATTTTCCTATGTAAAACTTTGGTTGGCATTTTGGCCCTGCCCTACCCCCGGGGGTCATGATTTGAACAAACTTGAATCTACACTACCTTAGGATGCTTCCATACAAATATCATCAATTATGGCTTTGTTATTCTTGAGAAGAAGATTTTTAAAGAATTCTACTATACATTTCTATGTAAAACTTTGGTCGGCCATTGTGGCCCCGCCCTACCCCTGGGGGTCATGATTTGAACAAACTTGAATCTACACTACCTGAGGATGCTTCCATATAAATATCATCAATTATGGCTTTGTTTTTCTTGAGAAGATGATTTTTAAAGAATTTTACTATATATTTCTATGTAAAAGTTTGGTCGGCCATTTTGGCCCCGCCCTACCCCCGGAGATCATGATTTGAACAAACTTGAATCTACAGTACCTGAGGATGCTTCCATATAAATATCATCAATTATGGCTTTGTTATTCTTGAGAAGAAGATTTTAAAAGAATTTTACTATATATTTCTATGTAAAACTTTGGTCGGCCATTGTGTCCCCGCTCTACCCCTGGAGGTCATGATTTGAACAAACTTGAATCTACACTACCTGAGGATGCTTCCATATAAATAACATCAATTATGGCTTTGCTATTCTTGAGAAGAAGATTTTTAAAGAATTTTACTATATATTTCTATGTGAAACTTTGATCAGCCATTTTGGCCCCGCCCTACCCCGGGGGGTCATGATTTAAAGAAACTTGAGTCTACACTACCTGAGGATGCTTCCATATAAATATCATCAATTATGGCTTTGCTATTCTTGAGAAGAAGATTTTTAAAGAATTTTACTATATATTTCTATGTAAAACTTTGGTCGGCCATTGTGGCCCCGCCCTACCCCTGGAGGTCATGATTTGAACAAACTTGAATCTACACTACCTGAGGATGCTTCCATATAAATAACATCAATTATGGCTTTGCTATTCTTGAGAAGAAGATTTTTAAAAGAATTTTCCTTTATATTTCTATGTGAAACTTTGATTGGCCATTGTTGCCCCGCCCTACCCCGGGGGGTCATGATTTGAACAAACTTGAATCTACACTACCTGAGCATGCTTCCATATAAATATCATCAATTATGGCTTTGCTATTCTTGAGAAGAAGATTTTTTAAAAATTTTCCTATATATTTCTATGTAAAATTTTGGTCGGCCATTGTGGCCCCGCCCTACTTTCGGGGATCATGATTTGAACAAACTTGAATCTACACTACCAGAGGATGTTTCCACATTAGTTTCATCTTTCCTGGCACAGTGGTTCTTGAGAAGAAGATTTTTAAAACATACCACCAAATTTTCATTAATTCCCAATTACCTCCCCTTGAATGAGGGCGTGGCCGTCCATTTGAACAAATTTGAATACCCTTCACTCAAGGATGCTTTGTGGCAAGTTTGGTTGAAATTGGCCCAGCGGTTCTTGAGAAGAAGTCAAAAATGTGAAAAGTTTACAGACGGACAGATAGCTAGACAGACAGACGGACGACGGACAAAATGTGATCAGAAAAGCTCACTTGAGCTTTCAGCTCAGGTGAGCTAAAAAGGGAGAGTTTAAAAAAAATGCTTCGACGCTTACGTTCTTACAGATATTTTTATTTTTACTTGGGCAAAGAAATGTGGTTTTAATCACAGGCCTTTGGATCGCTTAAAAAAAATTGTGTGTGTAAAAAAAAAAATAAAGGTACTGAACTCTTACACTGGGTACCTAATTTCGCTAATAAAATATTTTTTATTCGAATGCTCTAAAATTCTACTTTCTATTTAAATCTATTCGTAGATAAACATTCTTCAATTCTACCAAAACTCATTCCGAAATTCCATATATTTCTTGAGATATTCTGAAATCAATTTCAAAAATGACCTACTTTCTTTTACTCGACATTAGCTTGGGCCCCTGGCCATTCACATGTAAACAGACGGTGTTTGAAGTGCGGCGAAGAGTTGCATAGTATTTGCAAAATCTTTCAACAATTTAAAGTTTGAAGTGCGGCGAAGAGTTGCATAGTATTTGCAAAATCTTTCAACAATTTAAAGTTGATTTCTTACTCCAGATTGTAACGTTAAGTCCGTAATAATATTCCATTCGCGAAAAATTAATTTGAAAACGTCTACATCAACAACTACCGCCATGTTGATTACGAATGTAAATGAAGCCATGGTAGAACGAATTTTTCCCGGAATGCATTATATACCTTTCGATTTTCAAAACAATTAGACCGCTAAAATGTTGTTTATGACTTAGTTACACCATATGTTCAAATTAAAGAAAAACCTTGTAAAGCTTGAATGCAAATGAGCAAATATTCATTGAGTTTAGAATAAATTCCGGGGAAATTTTGTCCCGTCGTTCAGGCTTTACAATTAGTGAAGGCCCAAGCTGATGTCGAGTAAAAAAATTATTGTCAATTTGGGAATTGATTTCAGAATATCTCGAGAAGTATAAGGAATTACGGAATGAACTTTGGTAGTAATGAATATTGTTAATTTTTGAATAGATATGGATAGAAAGTAAAATTGTAAAGCATTTGATTTAAAAGAATTTTATTGGCGAAAGTAGGTACCCCATGAAAAGAGTTCCATACCTTTATTTTTTTTTTCAACACCTCAATTTTTTTTCTAAGCGATCTAAAGGCCTGTGGTTTTAATCGAAAAAATGGAGAATGTTAACTTATGTTGAATTCATATTCTTTTATGCAAAATGTGTTGGTTGAACGTAAACAATTTTTTTCAATACCACCCTTACACAAAAACACAATTTAGTTCCCAGTGTAACGAACATAATCTATGTCGTCACGGTAGCAAAACTATACATGTATTCATTTACCCTAAATACATTGTACACTGCCATTACATTTTGCACAAAATACACTGCCGTTATATAATGAACAAAATACACTGCCGTTATATGAGGAACAGAATAAACTGTCCTTAAATGATGAATAAAATACCGTGTATCCGGGTTTTTTCGCGATGATTTTTAATTCGTAAAATATAAAACACGCAGAAATTATGTCAACTATAATGTGACATAAAAACATTACCATTGTAAACAAAAAAATCTTCAATCGTAAAAAAATAATAACTACAAATTTACCCCTTTTCGTAAAATTTCCAACACGCGAAAAAACCCGGATATACGGTACATTGCCGTTATATGCTGAATATACTGCCCTTATATGATCTACAGAGTACACTGCCATTAAATGATTACTAAAATACATTGCCGCTATGATGAACAATATAATTTATTTACTACAGACTTGCAAAAAGAAGGTGGGGGTGTTTGATTATTTTAGTTTCTGTATAAATTTACATATACATGTATGCACTAATCCTTTTCACTTAATACAGACTGGTATTTACAATTCTCTTGCAGTAAACTGTTCAAATAATATTTTAAAATAAATGATACGAATATATGTGCTGGTTTTTTTTTTGCATCATTTCATAAAAATCAAGATATACAACACGTGTGATACTCAATAAGTATTTTTACGTCAGGAAGTATATAAAAACGTGTGACAAAATCCTCTTTACTGCATTTCAAGAGTGGGGAAAGAATCATTTTATGAAAGGATTTAAAGGTAAGTACTCTTTCTTAATAATTTAAATTGTTTTTTTTTATTGTAACTTGAGCAGCTTAATATTCTATTTTTTCCCTCAAGTTATACTTTTTGGAAGAGACAAAAGCCTTGAAAAATTGCTGATACATGTATCCAATGCATTGTTCATATTTTTGCTTTGAATACAAGTTAAAATATAGAATAAAGAAAAGTTTGTGTACAGTTTCTACCGGTAATATAAGCAAATCGATTTGGATACCAAATGGAATATGGTTTAACTCATACTTAAAACAATTATTTACTCTAAATTTATTCTTGTTACATGTTAAATGGATTAAAAAAATTATTATGTACATGTATATTTTTTACGTAATAGCAGCGTGATAAAATCACTTAAAATGTCATGTGGAGGTCATTCCACCTTCTTCATATTTGGCTGTCTATTCCTCCTTCTGGCTCTAATACTAAACGTTATAGGTGTAGCTGCGCCATATTGGATCTATGGCGAGGCCAATGGTCTGAAAGTATATGCAGGACTCTGGAAACAGTGTCTTTCCGCCAATACCCATGACCTAAAAATTTCCAAATGCACTGAGTACGGCGATGTCCCAGGTAGCAATGAATTAAAAGTAATAAATAAGCAATATATGTAATATAATACTGTTTGTGAAGTGCCATTTGACTGGATAAAGAATTTACTATAGTCTATATCGTATAACATGGGTTGCCTGTATCAAAATGCTTTACGTCAAAAACGTTACATTATAAAACATGTATGTACAATTTAAAGGCATTCTTAATTTGGGCATTGTTTTATTTTTTACACTTAATGAAAATTATATCTAATGAATGATTTTAATAGCTATCCAAGATTTACTCGTATAACCTGGGTTGGAACATTTTACGGTTTTACATTAACCGCTTCTGAACTAAGATAGCTATTCTTGTTTTCTTGTTTTAGATTGGTTTAAATCAGAATAAGCATTTGGACTGCTTGGGATTTTTATTTCGGTCATTGCTCTTATTTCTGCCATCCTCAAGATACGTTTCAAGGACCGAGTTTTCGTGCTAATCATTGTGATCATCTTGTCCTTTTTGAGCGGTATTTATACTGTAGAATATATATTGACATTAATGAAAGCATAGCTCTTTTTATGTAGACCTTTTAATTAAATTTGAGTTTTTTTCTGTAAGGATTGATTAATTGTATACTGTTTAACGTCCCTCTTTAGAATATTTCACTGATATGGAGACGTCACCATTGCTGGTGAAGGGCTGCAAATTTAGGCCTATGCTCAGCACTTACGGCCTTTGAGCAGGGAGGGATCTTTATCGTGCCACACCTGCTGTGACACGGGGCCTCGGTTTATACGGTCTCATCCGAAGGACCGTCCTATGTGTGTGTGTTTACGACAAGCAAGGGGGTACTGATTGCTCCTCTCCTATTTTGGATCCCCACGGGGCTTCTGTGAGGATAATAGTCACATATAATTTCAGCCTAATATGAAATCTGCTATTTATGATACATAATAATCCTGTTGCCTTCATATCTAACCTTATGGAAATAACTCAGATTTATTTAAACAAACGCAATTAAAGATTTCTGCAGGTATACCGGTATACTTTAAAATCTGTTTTCTTTCAGCTGTGTGCACCATGGTGTCCATTGCTGTTTATGCAGGAAAATATGAATCGCAAAAATACAGCAATTTTGTCAAATTCAGCTTTGCATTTGCTTTTTGTGCAGTTTCCATCGTTCTCTCGGCCATAGCTGGAATTTGCATGATTATTGAATTGTCAAAAAGGTCATCTTACACTACAAATAGTTGGGCGCTGAGAAAGCACCAATTTAGGACTGCCATATTGAAAAAAAATAATGTTTTTACATATATGAGGACTAACACATTACTATTACAATGTTCATAACTTTATAAACATTCAACGAATTCATTTCAATATGTTCCTGATAATAGGGAATTCTAAAGGACATATGCAATTTTAATGTCTTTTTTCCCTGGAGTTGAAGAGCTCCAATATCTAAGGAACCTGTGTGCTACATTTCATTGTCCATATAATTATGCATGTTAATTATACAAACGAAACAACTGTCAGCGATCGAACCAACCGCAACTCGTTCTCGGACGTAGCGAAAAACAACACAAACAAATGGACAACGTCGCCGATGCAGCCACCTCATAGTTGTGCCTAGACGTTCCCTATCATGTTTCAACCCGTTGTGTCATAAAATTAAACAATTCATTAGGCAAATGCGTTTACAGACTTAAATAGTCAGTTCTCAGATTTAACAATCAAAGCCAATTAATTAAATTTTAATGAATTATTATTATAAAGTACAGTGTATGTAATTCACTTATTACTGACCTTTGTGCAGAATTTATTTATATCATTCTTTAATGTTGCATGTCATTATGTTGTCTTAAATCCTCTTATATTGTCATGTTTTGTTTGGGAATACATTAATTTGTGTAGATTAGTCCCTTCCAATTCAGATTTGCATAGAAGACTTTCTTGTGCTTTTGTTAGTCTCTTTTCTGTACATGTTCATATTCCATTTGTTATTCCTTTTTATTTTGTGTTTGTGTTATACTTTCTATTATTTTTTGTTAACATTTTGAACTATGCATTACATCAAAAATTTCTTAGTCATGCAAACAAATATGTTTTAATTGCATGACATACAGTTATAGTTATATTTAAGGAGAGAAACTCGTAAGTTGAAAGAACTTGTTTCCGTTCCATTTGATTTATTTCGATGAAATATGATCAAAACAATTATAATTGTACACTTCCTCTAAACCAAGTTTGGTTTAACAAAACATCTAGAATATATGTTTAGTAATTTTTGAATATTTTTCTTTGCATTATACAAGAATTTTCATCAATTGATATCTTTCCAAAACCCCTGGTAATGCATGCTGATCTTTTGTCTACAAGCATTCGCTAGAACTATAATCTTACATTAGAACATTAGTAGAAAAATTCTTTAAACAGTGTTTATAAATTTTATTGTTTATAAGAGATACAATGATAAATTTCAACTCCTTACCATATATATAACTAGTGCTAATTGTAACGGGGACCGTTACAGATGTTCCCCAAACGCTCCCCAACTCCCTTTTGGTGCCATATTCCCTGTAAGCTTCATTATATAGGACAGAATCTATGCATTTGAGTCTTTAATAAATATTAAAGTATTTAATCCAAAAGTATTAAAAATACGTTCATTCAAGTGTATTTTTATTCAACTCATTTGACGTGCACGCACGTGCATATATGAGCATGGTGACCATATCTTCTTGTAAAGGTCCATTACATCTATCTATGTTCTAAATTCCACCCCGTTTGGGTGAAAACTAAGGGAGTTATAGCTGTTTAAAGTTTCAGCCAATCAGATTGCAGCACATGTACACGCATGTGTATGCATGTGCATGATGACCATACCTACTTGTAGAAGTCCATTATATCTATCTATGTTCCAAATCCCATCCTGTTTGGTTGAAAACCAAGGGAGTTATAGCTGTTTAAAGTTTCAGCCAATCAGATTGCAGCGCACGTGCATGCACGTGTTTTCATGATAATTGCTTTATTTCATGTTGTAGGATATCCTAATGCATGGCTATGTTCAAAATTTCAAAGGATTTCGTCAAAAAACAAGAAAGATATTGAGACTTTAGTTGCAGCCAATCAGAGCGAAGTGCACGTGCATGCGCGTGAGATCTTGCTATTTTCACCATGTCATGTCTATACTACTAATATATCCTCACATTATGAGTTTCAAAGCATTTCATTTAAAAATAGAACAGTTGTGGCTATATCTATTATATTGGTCATTTCACGTGTTGCACGTGCACGCTCTTGCAAGCACGTGCGCGCAAAATGACCTTGATTCCGCAAATCTACATAACATGTCTACTAACCCTAAAAAGGTTTTACCTACATCGGACGAACAGTTTACAAGATCATTCCCGGACAAAAAAGTTCCAGGAAGAAGAAGAAAAATAATAATAATAATAACTAGAAACTCTTGTTGCTTCAGCAACAAAGAAGGTCTTCCGTTCTCCTCTATTTATCTGTAAGAAGGTATGTCCCAAAATCATTTCAAATACTCTTTTTATAAAAGATATTTATGGGAGAGTAAGAAACTCAATTTATGCAGTTTTTCTCTCATAACCAGAAGTCGTCGTTTTTGTTTCCAATGGGACTGACATATTTCGAAACTACTAGTAAAAAGCTATTAAGGTAATTCTAAGAAAGATTCCATAAAGAAAAGTTTAAAATTTTGATTTCTTTCATCACTTCCTGTGACAACCGGAAGTGACGGTGGATGATCTTAAACTCAAAGGATTTGTCTACTCATCAAGGTCTACCACCCCTAGTAGTTTAGTGTCTTAATCTCTTACCGTTAACGAGATCTAGTAATG